GAAGGCCTCTAAAAGAGTTGAGTTTTATAAGCTCGAGGTCGAGCTTTTCCCAACCTGGGGAGAATGATGCAAATAAAAATCAAAGATTTTTTTATATTTTTATATTTTCTTGATTTAAAATTTGGTATTATTTAACTTTTTAGTTTATTTAGGGTTATTTTTGTAGTTTTTGTTGTAGATATTTGAAGGGTATAAAAGATATTTATTTTAAAATTTTATGAGTTATCTTTTAGATAGAGAGAAAATAGGAAGGACTATCTTAAATGATATGTACTAATCTTTAAGAAATCAATCTTTTCGTTAGAATGTCAATAAACATGTAGTTAGAAAGGTTCTCTTTTTTAAGAACGAAATGAGTTTTAGAATGAGAGATACAGGTATTTTTATTTATTTATTTTATTAGTTTAATTGTATTTAAATGCGAAAGGTCCCTCTTTGTAAAAGAGAAGAGATTGAAATTGGGTAAATATTATCATATGAAAATATCTTTTTGGGGTGGATTCCTTTGCAAACCCTGGGAGAGTATTTTTTTTACTTCTCATTGCATCATTATCATAGGATTCCAGCAATATACAAAGTAAGGTGACCATCTTATCTTCATCATACATTCTTACAATACTTTCAAGTTGATAAATGACATCATTAAATTCATTCAAGTGCTATGACAAATATTGTGCCCTCTTTCATCCTCAAGGAATGCAATTTTCTTTCTAATAAAATTCAATTTGTGAGAGATTTTATTTGATATAGATTTTCTAATTTTTCTCGCAAGTCATTTGTTGTTTTTTTCTCAATAGTGTTAAACAACACTTCATTTGCCAAACACAAGCTAATAGTAGCTCATGCCTTCATGACAAGTTCTTCCTAATCATCATCAATTATATTATTGGTTTCTTATCTTTTCAAATAATGCATTGTGTTGCCCTTGATTTACTAATAAATCTTGCATTCAATTTCCAAATTTCAAAATCATCTTTTATATTAAAATCTTTATTTCAAATTTTTGATTTCCCATTTTCATCAAATACTACACCACGCCCTTCAGCTCTGATACCACTTGTTGTTATACCACTTTGTGGCATTCAAAGAATTCCCCTCCACTAAAACCAAACACCCACCCAAGCACTCTGAAAGAAGTTAGATCCCATGGTACAATGAACTCAACTCTGCCTAGTTAGCTAAAGTATAACCCCCCCAATAATAGAATAAGATACATTTGAATTTCTCGCCACCCCTCTTACCGACCGAGTTTCCCAAAAGCTCCCATCAAAATTTAACTTAAGTCTTCCCACCAATGCCAATGGTGGTTACCAAACTCCTTTGGCTCTAACTTTATGAAACTTTAACTTAGCTACATTCTCCAGATTCAATAAGAGGTCAACCTTGGACAAGCCCCCACCCTTCTTTGGTCATAGAAACCTAGCTCCACAAAGACTCCACTACCTTCTTTACGAGTCTCCTCACTCATTGACTTATTTCTTTGACTCCATACGTCCCATATAATTGCTGCTTGAAATGCCTTCCAAATAGCCTTCCTGTAATCTCAAAGTATTCATCTATTCTATAATATCCGAAAGTGTAGTTAGGCCCAATTTTTGTAAACCCCAAACCCAAATATTGTAAATGAAAGGGCAATAGAGTAAAAGATGATCATTATGCTCCTCATCATTTTTGCACATCAAGCAAATAATGACCAAGACAACTTCTCTACCATCAATGCCTTTCCTTGCATAGCCATCCACAAAAAAAGCTTGAACTTTATGAGGTATTGGCCATTTTCAAAGTTTGCTCAAAGCAAGCTGCGATCGACAAACCCTATCATGAAAGAGTTGTTGGTAGACTAATTTCACCTAAAATCGATCATCACTCTCTCTCGCACACAACCTCATAGTCACCTTCAAGGGGTAAATGCACTCCATACAACTCCTGCAACAGCCCTAAAAATTGATCAATTGCCACACCAGATGCACAAATATAATCATAAACAATATCTCATGTCAAATAGTGCTTTCCCCTATGCTCAATCCTCTCACTAGCAAGCCGAATTATATCTGGGAAATGAAACTTCAAGGCTGAATCTGCTATCCACTTACGGTGTTAATGACTGATACGATCACCTCTCCAATCATCCATGTGATATTCCTTTCCATAACGGGCTTACACTGAAGAATACCTTTCCAAAGATGAGATCCCCCAATGCCTCCCCTGCCACTACTAATAAAAATAGCATTACTATTCATTCCATACTTAGCCCCATGGACCTTCTACCACAGCTGATTTAGGGGTGGCAATGGACCTAGACCTGATCCAAGACTCAAGGGGGTAGACCCGATCCAGGTCTGGGTATAAGTCCAAAAATTGGATCCAGCAGGGCAGGTCTTGGTCCAAATCTTGGACTCAAACACTATTCGAGTCCCAGTCCGGTAATATTTTTCGGGTCCTAATATATGAAATATATTTACCCATAGTTAAATATATAGATATTGGGTCAGGTTCGGTCGGGTTTAGATCAAGGATCTGATTCAAGTCCCATATCAATTTTTTAAGTCTGGGTTTGAGTCTAGCCGGATGCGGAGCAGACCCGATCCGTTGCCACCCCAAGTGATCATCCCCTAGGTTTCTGAATAATTGCATCTTGACTAATCCGGCCAATTTGGCTAAGCCTTTTCGTGACGTATTAGACAAACTTCATGTTTGATACTAGTCTTATATCTCATCGACATCCAACCTTAGTAAGAGAGATAACATGATTAAATCAAGGTTCAGCACTATGCTCTCCTAGGAGCAAAATCTACATTTACTCACTCGGGCAATGACCTAATTGAGAGGAATTTTTTGGTTTGAAATTGTGGGCTCCACTTAAAATCACAAGATGGCATTTTGAAGGGAAAAATTGGATTACAAGTTTAAATAAACGCATAGATTTGAGCATCCAAAATTTTGGTTGGTGGTTCTAACACAGGGTGTCATATTTTTATGCGGCCTTAGTTTCTTCTTTTATTTCTTATTTATAAGTAGGTTGCTGGATTATGTGCATCCCCAAAATTTTAGGTCTTAAAAATGATCGCAGCTAGATTTTTGCCAAGGGAGGAAATGTACATTTTGCTCATTCAGAAATATATGCATATTTTCAAAACAAGAATTTGAGTTTCTCAAGTGGGCCAAAGATGAGTTTGATTTTTTTGGTCAAAAGGAAACCTACTTATGGTTTCTTTTTTCCTTAAGCATGTTCTTCTTTTCTCATAAATATTGCTTAGAAACTTACATCAGTCAGTGGATGATTCAAATCATAGTTACCCGGAGCCGGAGCAAAAGCAACTCCGGGGTCGGGAACAGGAGCATGGAATCGATGGCTGACCAAAGCTCCGGCTCTTATGGAGCGGGTTCTGGTGAGGTTATCAAGAATAGAGCCAGATCTTGGACAAAAAAGATCGCTCTCCCATATGGAATGGGACTGCACTCTCATATGGGATGGGATTGCACTCCCATTTGTAACGGGATCCGCTCCTAGTTGGATTGAACTGCACAAGGATCCAATCAAGATCCGAACCCTATTATAGATGAATTCATGTTCCCACAAAGCATTGCAACCCATTTCCACTCTAACACAGTCACAATCCAGTTTATTCTAGAACTCATTATCTAATATATAAACCATATCAGTCATAGGTGAAAGCACTTACTATAGAAATGGTCATTAGGGCTAGATCCCTGTGTGGTCAACCCTAAATGTCGATGGATTAATTAAATTTCATTAATATTGTATGGAGTACCTTTCAATTCTCTAATTGAATTTTATTCTTGAAATGGTTATTACTTGTAGTGTAATTTCATACACTACAAATAGAAAGAGAGAAAAAGGCATCATCAATCATTTTTAGTTGCATAGACATTTATAGATCAGTCTTAGTTGGAAGCCATTAGCATGCGGCAAGCTCGCACATTGTAGAAATGCAGGCTTGGCAATAAATATATTTTTTAAATATAATTTGATCTTAATTTTTAGAGAATATAAAATCTTTAACATGAAGATCATGAAAATAACAAAAATAATAAAAAAAGTTTGAAAACTAGAAATTATAATTATATTAAGAAAACATTTGGACCGTTAGTTACGATTGTTTTCAGATGGACCACCTATTAGCATCCAACTTTTAAGATGGATGCTTTATACCACTGATCCGCACATTGTAGAAATACGGTCCAGCCCGCATGAAACAATTGTTCTTTTCAGTTGCATAGTCATTTATAGGTTACATAAGAGGGAGGGGGAGGGGGGGGGGCGGTGCACGAGGGTTGCATGAAACAATCATTTGATTCAACATTAGACCGAGAAAATCTTCCAAAAAGCAAACAAAAAAGGCCCCAAAATATCAAAAGGCTCTTCAACTTTGGTGCATCGTTTGACACAAGAAAAAGCTGGCTCCTAGAAATGGAAGACCTTATGATTTAGGGAAAAAGATCCACAAATCCAACGAACGAGCAACATGATATATGGGGATCGAGATCTTTGTGCTCATCGGATTGAAATCCCTGAAAAGAGGGAGCGAGAGCCCGCCAAAAAAACAATGCATTCCATTCAAAATCCTGGCTTCGGAGCCCAAAATCTGGATTCTGGACCCAAAACAACAACCTAATGGGGCGTACCCGATAACTATAATCGAAAATAGTGTGGTCCTATGGAGTCCTTTAGCACCATAGGAGGAGCTAACGATTTGTACCATTCAAAAGTATCCAATCCTAGGCTATTTAATCATTTAATGGTAGTTAATTGTCCTTAATTTGTGACCCATGACTATTGCCAATCATTCATTCAACTTAGCTTTGATTGGGAAAGAGATGCTGACACCATAGAAAAAAGGAAAAAGAAGCTAACTTCCTAATCTATAGTAAAAAACGGGCAGAACACGCATTTTTCTTTTTTTGTACAAAATGATTCATATTATTAAGCAAGCATGATGTAGCATCTCGCATTGCATTAATAACGTTTCAATGTGAAATTAATCCCCATTTACATCTTGCATGTTAGACAAGACATCTGAAAGCACACAATGTGCTAGGGAACAACAACACAAGCATCATGGATGAAGATTTTTGGGGTGATGTTATGGTTTCTACCATGACAATGAATATGTAAATGTTGCCATCAGTGAGAGAATATTTTGGTCTAGGTGCTGATATTATACTGCCTGGAGAGTATACAATACGGTGCTCTGTCAGACCGTCCACGGTATGCGACTTCGACGACTGGTGAGATTCACCATTGCTCCCTGTTAGGACTAACAGCACTGCAGTTGGTCATCAGTCATCCTCGCCGTTTGTAGATAAGATTGGACAGTGCATTGCCTATCTGAGCACCACAATACTCATAACAGGGTACTGTATGTTTTGCCTCTGCCATGGCATTGGAATAGATGACTTGTTTAATTGTGCTAACCCTTGAGTTTTGCCATTTTCAACCCCATAACTAATCAAGCCAATAGAGAGGGCCGATGGAGTTGGTATTCTAAAACAGTAATTAAAACTAAGGCTCTCTATCCATAAAAATTTCGCCTCGATCGGCATTTGAACATACACAATCAAATTTACATGTTTCCCCACCGACAGATTCCTGAATTTCTCAATTACCGAAGCTTAGCTTTCCTGAATTTCTCAATTACCGAAGCTTAGCTTTCTTCGAGATCATGTTTTTCGCATTCTGATCAACTCCAGAGCAATCAAGAGGAGTACTACACTTCTACTTTTCTCTCTGCCTCTCTGATTTCTTTCAACCAAGGCAAATATACAGAGTGTGCCACTTTTTCTCTCTATCCTTAAGATTCTAATTTCTCCAAAGGAGCATACAAAGAGAGCGTGTCGCTCCACAAGACACACCTCTGAACGATCTTGTGCCGTCTAGACCCTAACTCATCATCATCTGTCCACAAAAACTTCGAGTGAGACTACTTTTGTAGCCTCAATACACAACCTGCACAAACAGATCTTCGGCACCGCTTTCAATGTATGGTGTATGACAAATCGAGCCCACACTTGGAGGCAAACATACTCAACCCCTCGCCATGGCCACGACTGCAAAGCTTTAGTAGGTTCCGTGCTCTTTGCTTAACCGCAGGCTCGCACGTGCTCTGTAGAATTAACAAAAGCTTAGCAGCGAGCTTAGCCTCCATACCTATGCCTGCACCATGAGTGCAGAGCCTTAGAAGAACGGAGAGGCCGAGTGCCGTGCACCTCTCTGACACCCTCATTAGGGTGTTTACGATATTAGGGACCGCTCTTTCGCAGGATCTGAGAGCCTCAGCTCCCTCTTTTGATAGTTGCTCTAGTACCTATTGAGACAGCAGGACAGGAGAATTTAGCTTCATAGAGCTAATAGAAATGAAGAAATTTGTTTGTAGAATCCGCCAAATAAAATCGGTTTTATTTTAAGAGGAAACACGGATATATGCTTTGGTACTGGAAGTTCATGGTGACTACCAGCTATTAAATGTGAAATCGGATATTGTGTAATTTTTTCATAAATTCTCAAGTAAATTTTTTAAGATTTTAAATCTGCCATATTTCCAACCACCAATTTCACATCTAACCGCAAAAGGTAAAAAAAAAGTGATATTGACCATCCTTTTTATCATTTCTGGCAATGATCTTATTTCTTAAAAACCACAATATTGGTTGATGATTCATGTCGTGACGGTCGATCTAATGTAGTGAAGCCTTCCATGGATCTAGGTCCCATTTCATAAATTTTGTGGCGGTCACCATTGCCATCTTTAGATCCACTGGAATAAGCGAGGCATATAAATAACCTACGAAATGGCTTTTCTTGATCAACGTCCATGACCGACCCAACCATGAAATGCACAAAGTTTTAATTTGGTTACTGTGTAATATGATCTATATGGTTCCTCATAACGTACGGGTGGATATAGGGAGAAGGGCTCCAGATCTGCGTGATCCACTCCCCACTCCATTGGTTAGATGGTCCACATGCTTATGTTGCTTTCATGATCATTTATTTATTTTTATTTTACAAATGTTGCTTTCGTGATCATATGGGCTGGAAAAGAGATGCATTTCACATGATCTTGGACGTTATCACCCTCCATCAGTGGGCTGGGCTAGAGGGTGATGGAAGCGATAGTTTTTATGATGTCCCTACAGTCTCTCCATCACCGATCAACCAACTGAATGGATGGTGATCATGGTCGAGATTATGATCCATATGGATGATGTTACATTCTTCCACATAACATACCTCCATGCACGTCTGAGCATCGGCGCCCTCGGCTACAGGGAGGATGTCGAGGAGGCAAGGGATAGCGCCCGCCCTCATAAGCAGCGTCCGGGCCTCAGCCCACCGACAAACGGCATGGAGCAGCCGGACACCGGCAGAAAAGGACTCAGAACGCGGCGATCTCGCGAGGCGAAGAGCTCCAAAAAGGAGCCTAAAACTCGAAACACTCCCAAAATCTGGAGGAGCAGTAGCAATGGCAGAATGGAGCACTGAGGCCGCAGCCACCTGTGAGGCAGCGGGGGCCTCATGGAGGAGATCGACAAGGAGAGAGAAAGCGTCAGGGTGTCGGAGAAGAGAGAGCACGTCAGGGTTGAGGGGGAGGAGAGAGAGGAGGTCAGCCGATAAGGCAGCTACAGAGGGAGGAGTAAGAGGGGTAAGAGATTGCGCAAGAAGAGATGGAACGTCAAGATTCGCAAGAACTTCCATCGCCTCCTCGTGCGATCTAGCAAGAGAAAGTAGGGAAGAGAGGGCGGAGATGCGATGGGGCCGACGTTTGGCCACCTTGAGGCGATGGACGAGGAGAGAGGCTGAGGTGGAGAGAGAATTCTGGGAGAAATGCGATTGGATGAGGCGGCGGAGGGTGGAGTTGGGGGTGAGAGAGGTGTCGGAGAGCGGGGTGTTGGTGGCGGGGCAGGTGAGTCCACCAGAGGCTAGCCAGGTGAGGATGCTGGAGCGGTCGTAGGTCTGTCCGGTGCAGAGGGTGACGGGGTCGCGCATCGGCTCACGGGAGATGGGGCAGACGAACACCTCCGGCGCCCCCTCGCACCACTCCCATTGCTTCCCAAAAGCTTTGTCTGCTCTCTTCTCCGTCTCTCTTTGCCGGATTTCCTTCTTCATCTCTCTCTCTTCTACTCTGCTTTGCTTCCTTTTGGGGGTATTTATTTTGAGAGGTCTCCGGCTTCTGCGGGGGAGGTACACTGGTTGCCTCGTGAGGGCCTGCACTTGTTTATTTTGTAAAAGAGGAATTGGGAGTTGTCTTCTTTTACTCTCATGGCCTTTTAACTTTCCATGTTTATTTCACGAAAAGGAAGTGATGGAGCCTATCCTCTCTGTAAATCAATGCTGCTACGTCCAATTTGATATAAAAATTTCCAAGTGCTAAATAAACTCTCACTAAATTTTAGCATGAGCATAGTGCTGTCAGCCTAGCTCTAAGAATTTAGGTCCTTGGCTACACAATGTGGCCCAAAGGCCCGGCCACGGCTGGGCAACCACAGCCCAAAGGTGGGCCAAGCCAAGCCAAGGCTGGTCCCATCTTTTCTTTCTCTGTTTCTTTTGTTTTGACCAAGGGCCAGGGTCTCTTTGGGCAGCGCCTCACCTCTCTTCATCCACATGCCAACTAGGGTGGCAATGGACGCAGACCCAAGGGGCGCATTCCAAGCCTAGGTATGGGTCCAATAGCATGTCAGGTCTGGGTCCAAATTTTGGACTCGAACACGATTTGGGTCCTAATAAATAAAATATAATTAAGAGCAACAATCCAATCCAATGCAATGGTTGTATCATAGTATTAAATACATAAATATTTTAGTTTTGGATACGGTTTATATAGAGCCAAGGCTCTAAACAATCAAAGTAAAATCCACCTTCAAATAGTATCAATAAATGTGGTTTTAATACTGAAAATATTTGTGATAGCCTTAAAATATATTTTCATCTTTGATTATAAAATTTAAAGCTTAAAAAATAATATAGCTCAAGCAAATCTATGAAAACTTAAAAAAGCTTGAAAATTAACTGTCAAAAATTGCATTACAAGATGTATTGTTTTTAGAATTTGAAATCCATCTTTTCCTCATATTTATGCATCTTGATTCCGAGATGATCAATTTGAAGATATTGGATCATCAAAACGAGCTCTTTTAGTGAAATTTATGAGGTAGGCTCTAATTTGATTGTTTAGAGCCTTCGCTCTATATAAACTTTTTTCTTTTAATTTTTGGGTCGGGTTCAAGTCGGGGTCCTATATCATTTTCAAATCAAACAAGACTCGACCCGATGCCAACTTAAAATTAAACAAATGCCCCCATTAATTAAACAAATGCCCCCATTCATGCAAGGTAAGAAACAATGCCCTCTTCAATGATATGATGACACTGCTGCCGGACAAAAATTAAAAAATCGACCGAGGGGGACACGTTTGACCGGTCCCCTTAAGAATTATTTAGGGTTAGAGGCACGAAACCTAGGGTTTAGGGGAATGACTTTTCTTTGCATATAAAGAAACGGGAAATGGAGTGTGGGTGTTAGGTTTCGAGGGAACCCCTTTTTCAAACATCATTTAACAACATTGCCTCACTTTTGCTCTCTGTCTTCATGCTCCATTGAAACTGCCCACATCTTTCTGCCAATTACAAAATTTGTCCTTGCTAATATACTCGTGTAAACTTGAATAAATACTCTAGATATTGTCCAAAAATAATAATAATAATAAATAAAAATGCTTGGGTAAACTTTCATTAACTAGGGATATGTTGGAGAATTCCTCAAAAGGGTGATTTTTCCACGCTTTTCAAAAGGTAAGTTTTTCTTGAGAAATTCATGTGGAAATTTTAAGATAGAAAAGGGAAATTAAAATAAATATCCTTAGGCATATTTCAAAAATATCTCATATTTTTAAAAATTTACATTGATGCTCCTTTTTTCTCCATCTATGTCACCTTTTCCAATTCGGAGGTGTATCGTACTTTGATCATTTAAGGTTGCAACCTTATGCAAACCACACAATTCACTTTCGATCTTAAATCATGTCGAACTTAATTTTTTGTAAAAAACTAATATTTGGTACTAAGAGTATCAAAAAATAAGAAAAAAAACAATGGTTTGGTACTCTCAATACCGAACACAAGAGAAAGCCAATAGTTTAGTGTTACGAGTACTGAATATAATATTTAAAAGAATATATATTGGCTTATTACTCTTAGTACCAAACTTTATCAAAAGCATGAATATATTCAGTACTCTCAGTACCAAATAGTACCACCAATTAACATAGTTCTCAACTGGAACTCCAAACTGGAAAGGCAATTATGGGATAATCAAATAAAAAAAATAAAAACAAAGGACGTCAACGTTAAGTTCAAAAGTTTTGGAATGTTTTGGAAATAAAAAAAATGTTTATATAAAGTTGACACCTTAAAATACAGAATTAAGGTGCACCTCGAAAATCTTTTGAAAAAGGTTGTTTTGATGTTCGAAAATATGTAATTGATCAACTCAACATTGAGGTATATAGATGTGAAAAAAAATTCTAAAAATAGTACCTCTTGCAACACATTATCCTTACCGCCCATTTTCAAGATTCATATGTTTATATATCTTCTTGATATGAATCATTTTTTAGAGTGTCAAAGTTTATAATAAGATGTAAAAATATATTCTTGCACCATCCTAAGAACTTTCGACAACAAAATTGCATCTCATGAGAAAGTTTGGAGGTCCACCTTAATTTGATTATTTAATGTTGCAACCTTATGCAAACCACACCGTTTTTAAATATTAAAAAAAAAAACATGTTTACATAAATTTCCCCAAAAAAAAAAAAAATGTAAGCCTTATTATTAAGTTTTGTTTAATGATGGAATCATAAAGCCACATCCATGGTTCAATCGAGCAAGAGCTCAGACCCACAGTTGGCAAAAGTAGGTTATGTTTGCCATTTCAGCTTTTGGTTAGAGTCCACATAGCCCCTACTCAAAGATAAGCAAACATCGGGGCAATTCTTTGATTGCATAGAAAACCAGGGCTTTATTCAAATGCATAAACATGTAGCTTTGCAGCAAAGAGTGGAGTGGGGTTGATTTATTGAGTCTTGTGCACCACCTTTGCCTTATTTGTTTATGATGCTAATGTGTTTTATGAACATGGGTTGGAGTGGTTTAGATGGAGTGGGATGCATTACTTTAATCTCAAAAATTATTTTAATGGGGTCTTCCATGAGAGAAACAGTAGGACAAAAGCATTGCCTCTCTTTCATGGAGATCTGAGTGCATATGCAACCCTAGTTAATTAAACCCTAAAATGTTGAAAGAGCAGCTTTCACAGCCTGTCCCTAGAGACTAGGCATTGAAGCCCAGCATAGTAGAATCTGGGGGATAACACTGGTACATGCATATGGTGATAATTAAATGGAAGAATCTGTCTCTTTCCACCTGGTGAATCTAAAATTTTCAATATATTTCTTGGAAACTTGAGTTCTCTTCTGGGTATGAAATTTTTTTGGGATATATTATGATTGACCATTTCCATCTGTCCTTTTAGCATGCGTGAGGACTCATGAAATATTTTGGGTATTTATTAGTTTATAATTGATCTCCTTCTTCTTCTTCTTTTTTTTTCTTTTTTTTTCTTTTTAATTATGGGTGAGGTTTGTTTAAAGCCGAGGCCATAAACAATCAAAGTCAGGTGCACCTTCAAATAATACCGAAGCATGTTGTTTTAATATCAAAATCTTTAAGATGACTTGAAATTTTATTTTCATCTCCAATTATAAATTTTAAAGTTCAAAAAAGTGTACATCTATGAACAATTGAAAATCTTGAAAATTAACGGTTTAAATAATACATTACAAGATGCATTAGTTCCGAGACTTTAAATCTATTTTTCTCATGTCCATACATCTTGAGGTCGAGGTGATCCAATTGAGGATTTTTCAGCATCGAAACAACCTTTTTTAATAAAATTTTTATGTGCGCCTTAATTTGATTGTTTAGGGCCCCACCACTACATAAACTTTTTTCTTTTTCCTTTTTTTTATTGGAAATGGTTAAAATAAGGCTAGAAAGAAAAAGTGAAACCTCACCTCAAAGCTCGTCTAAAAATAAAGTTCTAGTGTCAAAAAACATTCAAATTGATCATCTCGTTCTTGATCATAATGTTTGTATAAAAAACGACGACTTCAACCCCTAAAAATAATGCATTTTAAGGCATTATGTGGATCATCCATTTTTAATTGTTCACATATCCATATGATCAATACCATTTTCTGAGATATAAATTTAATAATCAGTGGTGAAAATAGATTTTAGAGCTATATTAGAGATTTCATGTACTCAGTATTTTGCGAACAAGATCTCAAAGTGGGGCTTTATTTTTCTTTATATGGCCTAGGCCTTATAGAAACTGCATCCATTGAGTTTGTTTTTAGCCGCTAACACAAAGAATGAACCTCAAATTGCATCCAGCGCCAAGGTGATTCTAATAGATCTATTAGAATTGCTACATGATCAATGTGCATTTCTTTGAACTTTTATTATTACCAACCTTTGTTTACTTTTGAATGGGTAAGCTGGAAACACTCTTGAAAATTCAAGCTATTAAATTAGGATGCAGTTTCTATGAGCCCTAGGCCTAGGCTTAGGCCTTATGAAAACAAGCTAAAGTTTCACATCGATTCTTCATCCGTTGAACATTTTGGGCATCATAAATCTCCATGATGGCTCTAAAATTAATTTTCAACACCAACTATAATATCTAAAGTTCAAAAAATGGTACAAATCTTTCAAATCTGTGAACATTTATTTTAGGGCAAAATGGATGGTCCAGATAATGTGTTACAACATACATTGAAATCTTTTTTTTTTTCACAACCATAATGGTCAAGGCACATATGATCGATTTAAAAGTTTTTCGATACTAAAACTGCAATTTTAGGTAAATACTGATGTGAGTTTACTTATTTTAATAGTTGTACAGCCCTATCAAAATACTTTCCATTAAATTATCACAATGTACATAGCTATTCATTAATGCAAACCTAGTGGGCAAGCTGGGAGTTGAGACCAAGACCATAGCGTTGCAGCCTTTGACCCTAACCATGCTCGAGCCCTATTAAAAGATATTTTCTTGCTCGATCATTTTGGTGGTACCAACTGATGTTTGAAAACATTGTCCAAAATCCTATAGAGGTAAATGGAGCCAAAATGATTTTATTTATTATAAGTGAGGTGTTTACGCATTTGGGTGAGATGTTTATTATGCTAAAAGAATGAGCAGCTTCAATCAAAAAAAGGACACGGTTAG